ATGTTATGCGTTTGTGAGTGGTCTGGTATAAGGGAGACCCTACCCAAACTCTATTTTGATAATGACTCCAGTGAAAGGGATGAGATGATGTAGTATCGGGTTATACAGAAAATATGGGTACTTCTTTAGGTTGATGGATGATCAATGGGTGAGAACAAACCCCCAAAATTTGGGGGCGTCACAGCTTGGTATTAGAGCCTAGGTTCTCAAATTAACTAGGGCTTACAAGCCATGGGTCTAGGCCATTGCATCCATTATGCATTACATGTTATATACATTAAATGCTACATGTTATATGCTATGTGAATTATATACACGATTAAATGTGTATGGAAATGAGACACTAGGGTTAGAAAATATAACCTTAGGGGTCAGAAAAGAAAGGACGGGAAGGTTCATGGTATGAGTGTCTACTAGAGGGTGGCACACATCCTGTTAATGAGACAAGGAGATAAAATTCTCAATGTTTTGACTTTGATCTAATTTAGTGCTCTATTGATATAGTACATGTGTGTAGATGGAAAATAGAGGAAGAGGATATTGAAACAGCCTAGGAGTTGGACAGAATAACAACTAACCATTATTGGCCTTTGATCAACAAGCTTTCATGGAGGATATAGGTACAATGGCAGCTACCCTTGCACATGTTAGCGCCAACGTGAGCCAAGGAGGCTTGAACAACCTCCAGAGGTTCAAGGCACACAAGACACATCCTTTTCTGGGAATGGCAAACATGATGCTAGCTGACCATTGGTTCCAACTAGTGGACAAGATTTTGTAGGTTATGAAGATCACATTCGATGCCACTAAAAATGAAGATCACATCTGATGCCATCTATGGTGGGAATAGGCAAAGGCCTCAAAAAACGTTGAGGCAATGACTTGGGGAAAGTTCTGTGGACTATTCATCGGCAAGTACTTCCGTCGGCTATTTGGCAAGCGAAAGCCTGAGAATTCTTGGAATTGAACAAGAGAGTTTGATGGCGATGGAGTACGTGGCTTAGTTCATAGAGCTAGCCCATTTTGTCGATGATTGTGTGGCCATAGACATGGCCATAATAAGGAGGTTTGAGGATGACTTGAAGTTGTCAATATGAGGAAAGATTGTGGGCCACCACCTACAAGACTTGGACTTGATGGTCGAGATGACCATGGCCATAGATAGGGAATTTGAAGACGCAAAAAGCATCCAGGAAGCCAGTGCTTAGGATAAGAAGAAGGAAGGTCAATCCCCTTCTTCAAGTTCTAGGAAGAAACAAAAGACATCTACCCCAAAAGGGTATCAAGGGCAAGGTCAAGGTTATCAAGGCCAAGGTCAAGGTGAGTCCTTCCAAGGTGGGAGAAATTTGAGGGCCACCTATTAGGTAGGCCAAAGAACTTGCTATATATGCCACTAGTTGGGCCACATGAAGTGGGAATGTCGTCAGAGGCTAGTATCCCAAAGCTCTAGGGCATCTCAAACCCAATCATTGGTGGGGCATCCACAGACTTTCTTCATTCCTCCTATTTGCCCATGAGCTAGGGAAATTAATTCCAATTCCACGATTCTACACAAGCCCCAACCATATCAGGAGTGGGGACTCTGCAATCAAACCAGATAAGTCAAGGCATGGGTAGAGGCTGATGACAGGGCTTTCAAGCCAAGACTTCAGTAATCCAGGGGCGAGCCTATGTTGTCACTATTCAGACTGAGCTGATGGATCAGTTGATGGTTTAGGGTACATTCTTACTCTCCCGCTTATGAGCAAGGGTATTATTTGACTCTGGTAGCAACATCATATGTAAAGGACTTGGGCTTAGATGTTGAGACCTTAGAGGAGCCATTACATGTGAGTTCGCCCCTAAGAGCTAGAGTTTGCATTAATCAAATATGTTAGGGATGTGAGTTAGAGATCCCAAGGATTCTACTTATTGTGGACCTTAGGGTCATGGACATGTCAGAGTTTTTTGTCATCTTTAGGATGGATTGGTTGGTAACACACAAATTCGTCATCGATTGTGATCGAAAGAATGTCACTGCCTATACACTAGAGGTTGTTTGTTTCAAGTTTCAGGGGAAAAATGCGATGCTTTATCGAAAGCCATTTATGACTCTCGTTCGCACGGGTAGTTGATGGGTTGGCTAGCAAGCCTTACTCTTGAGGATGAGGCAAGACAGAAGTTAGGTCTACCTCGGAAGGTCTATGAATATGCGAAAGTTTTTTTCAAATAAGTTATCAGGATTACCTCCACATTGGGATGTAGACTTCACCATTGAGTTATAACCCAGTGCATCTCCCATTTCTATGACGCCACATAAAATGACACCTACAGAGTTGTAAGAACTCAAGGTCTAGTTGTAAGAATTATTGGATAGGTGTTTCATTAGACCAAGTACCTCACCATGGGGAACTCTGATATTATTTTCCAAGAAGAAGGACAAAACCTTTAGGCTATGTATAGACTACCCACAGTTGAATCAGGTTACCATCAAGAATAGGTATCTAATGGCGTGCAAAATGTGACTGAGTAGAATAGGTATACTTTGAGATTCAATCTGAGCTATAAGGCTCTCGGGAACAATGACACAAATCAAGGGGAAAAGGGAGGATTGCACAGAGAAGTTATAGTGATTCACCAGCTCAAGAGCTCGGCTAATCCTCTCTTTAATGGAGTCTCTTGCTCCTGGGAATTGTATTGAAGATTAAGAAGGGATTACAAGGTCTTCTTGGCTGCCTACCTCAAATTGAGGACTTTGTATAGTATTTATAGCCTAGTTCCTAGTTCTATGGGGTCTGTCGCGACATCTTCACCTCTTATAACGTCTTGCTTGATTTCAGGTGATGGTTTAAGTGGTTAAGGTTCTTGCACCTAGACTGGCATGTGTTGTCGTTGAGGGGGCATTGCCAGCTAACTTCTACTCATTTTCTTTGGGGCGTAGATCGAGGAAGCCTAAGGTTTGAACCTTTGAGCTCAGGCTCTCTTGGCTGAGCTCCTTTCCTGACCTCAACATCCTAGCTCAAACTTGGAATTTTTTCTAGGTATCACCAGTTGCCCCCAGTCCCTAGTCAAAGTGGGTTTGAGTAGGAGCTGAGTTGTAGCTCGGTTGAGTTAAGCCTCCATATGGCGACCTCGATTTGCGCATGGTGAGACTATTTTTATAGTTCTGTGCAATCATTTCTTCCTTGTTTCTCATGCACGTCCCACATTTCGAAGGCCCACATACACAAAGCTTTGAATGCTCCTGTGACGATGGAAACTGCCACACTTCTCCTTTCGATTTCTCTCCCTAGGCTTTGCCTTCTCTCTTCCCTTATGATTTTAGCTTCCTCAAGCTACTAGAGGTCCTAGGGTTTCGCTGAAGAACCAATATCCCTAATTCGACTTCGAAGGTTCTGCGAGGTTTGCTCTTTGATTTCACTTTAGACCTCAGTTTATCTCTTACTCTTGGTTAAGTACATTTCTCGACCCTTATGCCATTACTAGAGTCTTCCTCATTAGTCGTTGGAGTCTTGACTCCTCAACTCTCAGGGATTGTTTTGTCAATGTCCTATTTCCTTATTCCTCCTTTTATCTCCCTTTTTCTAATCTTGTCATGTCTGGCTCTTCCGAAACTACTGGTTCGTCGGTTTCTCTTGCCATAAACGAGAGGTCTATTAGGGAGGAGGACATCGATTTAGGTGACGTAGGTGACGAGATTGATAATTTTCATGGTGTTGATTCTATATATGTTGGGGAAGAAATCGACGAGCTCCCTCATCATTTTCTCTTGTGCCCCGAAATTATGGGAAAGGAAAGGCCAAAGTGAGTGATGTTGGAGTTTCTGGCAGCATTGAGGAGGTTGAGGTTGCCCCCCGAGCTTCAAACCTCGTAGGTCATAGTAAGGTCACCCCTCTTTTCATAAGTGTCCTTACGAATCGATTTGGCTTTTCTCGGGGTATGCAATATTGGTGCCTAAACGTGGACACTCGGTATGACTCCCAGATCCTTGAGAAGGTTTGCTTCTTTGTGGCTTCTCTCGAGAATAAACTTCGCTTGCCCATACATCCTTTTCTCAAGAGTTTTCTTCAACACTTCAACATTTGCCCTTCTCAACTTTTCCCAAATTTTTGGGATGTTCTTGTGGGTCTCCTTGTTTTCTTCAATAAAAATGAACTTGGTGTCCCCACTAGACCTCTGCTCATGAAATTTGTTAATGTTAAATTCACCCCCTTCTAATGGTTTCCTATATATATCTAAAAGGGTGAAGGACCGTCTTATTATAACGACCTCTGGAGCTCCCATTAGGGTTGGAAAGAACTTTTCTTCTTTGTGTCTGGAAAGACTAGGTGTTCAATCCCAGAGACGTAGCTGATAAACTTCCTATGCCTCGGGCTTGATCTGTCCCTGATAATCTGGGTAAGTTCTGCCTTGGCAGACCTGGCCTAGCCTAAATGTTTCATTCTGCTAACCTTGCTTTTCATATTCCTTTTATGTATTCCACCTAACCTCAGTGCCGAGGACAAGAGAGTTTTACTAGACTTGGAGGGTTGTGAATTGGAGAGATATTCTAACTTGATTAAGCATTATGTGTTCACCAAGCTAAGGTTCAGTCTTCCTGAGGTAAGAGTTGAGACTCTGATTCCCACCTCTGTTGCTAGTGCAGAGGATCCTGCTGATATGATTTTTCCTCTTATCTCTATGTTTTCCCCTTTTTATTCTCTTTTAGCAACAGCTGATCCGTTTGCTTTCCCAGGTCCCAGGTTAATGGTTCTTGATGCAAAGGTGGTGAAGGCTAAGATTGCTGAGATGGAAGGCAAAGCTAAGCACAAGGCTGGATCGGAATCTGGGCTTAGTCTTTCTTCTAAGGTGCAGAGGGTAGAAGTGCGTGCACCTTCTCTTTAACCTCCTTAAGTGATCCTTCCCCCTCCATCGGCTTCGCTGAAGGCCAGTATGACCTCTTCATCTCAAGGGGTTCCTGCTTCCCTAATGCGGGATCTACTGATCAGGCTAGGGCCTCATCCTCTCCCTGGTCAATAAAGGTTGCTAGATCTTTGGAGTCCTCTTCTCGATCGGTTGGGAAGAGTCCTCATCTACGGGTGGAGGGTTTACCAGCAAAGCTTGAGATGTGCAAGAGTTCACTGATTGAGGACTCAGGCCTGACCGTTGAGACCATTGCCTCGGTTATCCCAGAGTTCGACATTGATGCAGTCTTGGTGATCCCTTTGCATACTTATGCTTCTACGGCTCTGTATGCAACAATGCTAATATGCCTTGGTTTCTCTGAACTTTGTTCTTGTCTTGAGGGGGGATTTTTTTTATTGACCATGACTTACTCTCATGCTGCTCCCCCCTTTTTTTTTAGTTGGCTATCCAAATAAGTGCTCTGGTGAAAATGATCTGAACTCTGGAGGGGTCTACAAAGATATCTGAGCTCAAGGCTGCTAAGTTGAGCCTTCTTAATGCTGAGCTCCAAGCTTAAGTTGAGGGGTTGAATTTTGCCAACAAGGGTTTGGAGGTGGAAGCTATAAAAGCCAAGGGTGAGGTTTCAGTGAAGGAAGATAACTAGCTTCAAGCTCGCAAGGAAACCTTAGAGGCCCTCCAATCCCTTATGACAATGAAGAAAGAGTATGACATGCTAGCTGAGGTCAACGCCACTTTGCTAAAGGAGATTGAGGCTGAAAGGGTCGCAACTCAAAAGAAGGATGATTTGATTACTGAACCTAAGGACGAGGCTACCACCAATTGGACCACTAGGTACCTCGCTTTTCAAAACTAGGCAGTGGAGGAGTATCCAGACCTAGACATCGAATTTGAACTTCCCATAGATAAAGGGAAGGAGAAGTCAAGCACTAAGAAGGAGGCAGAGGTCTTAGCTCCTACTGTCGCTCCCACTGATGTCTCTGTTAATGTTCCAGTTTCTGGTGATGACCCTGCTGACCTCGCAGCTCAGGCTTCTAGGTTAACCTTGCCTCCAGTCGAAGTTGAGTCTTCTGCTCCTGTTCTTCCTGAGGCTCTTCTCCCTTTAACCGCTCCTAAACCAACTGGAGCTCCTGATGAGCACAAAATATTGCATATTTAGCGGCCTCATTACATGCATTTTAACTCAACTTCGCATCTAAGTACTTAAAGTTAGTTGAAATTATGAATAATGTTAAATTTTTGATGTTGCAGGTAATGATACCGTAAATCATGGATTTTAGAACCTTGCAACTATGTGTGGATGTGTGCTGAAGATATGAACACATTACATGAGGATTTGGAGGCTTAAAAATGAAAGAAATCAAGGAGCTATCGGTGCTTGGCAACATAGGCACCAGCACCCACACTGTTTGGTTGGAAGACCTCTATTTTCCTCCTTTTTAACCATGATCAAATTCTAATCTGAAGAAGTTCCAAACATGAAAGTTGTGGATTTGGATGTTTTATGTATTATAACAAAATTGTAGCTCAATCGGATGGTTGGATCAAAAGTTATGACAATTCAACAAAAATTAGTCTAGAGCAGAGCGTACCGATACTCTTTAGTTACTGGTGTTCGTAGTATTGGTACGCTGTCCAGAACGCCTGAAAATCATGCTCCACTTGCTTGGGGGTCCCACCATTGATTCTCTCACTTGTCCCCTGACATCCCTTACACATTTCAATGCCTCCTACACCCTAGTTGCAGATTTTGGAGGCAATGTCATTAAGGAGGATGGGAGAGAAGGGGGTAGTCATAATGGTTGCAGGCTAAGGCTCTCCAATGCATCAAATCACCTCCCATTGATGGGAGGCCTAAACACAGGCTAGGAGAGCCTCAAGGATGAAAATGCATCATCTCACACTCCATATATTCAGCATTCCACAAGAGTTTGAGGGTGGCTAGCTAAGCTTAGAAAGCTCCAAGGAAGAAGATGATGAATAGTAGATAGAAATTTATGTTTTTGCATTTTCCTTTCCATTTCAGCTGTAGTAAGCTTTAATTTTCTTGTAATCCTTAACTCCTACACTTTAATCTCATTTATTTCAAGTATATTGCAAGTTTAGTTACATGTTCTAGTTTCCACCATTGTTGTTTTCAAGTTTTCTTCATTTCCTAGCTTTAAAATGGGTATTGCATATTTTTCTTTATAGTTTAAGATTTCTTGCATTAAGTTAAGTTTCATGTTCCATTTCTTCATTATGTCTCTTTACATTATGCATGTCTTTCCTTTTTGCATGAGTAGCTAGAGTTTTAGTTGGCTAATCCAAGGGAGACCTCTTCTTGAGTACACCATTTCAACTCATCCCCTTTCCTCCCCTCGGTGTACGGTGGTTCGGTTTGATTGGGTTGAGTGTGGACCGGAGTGTGAGTCTTTGACATCCCGTAGGCATTGTCACGGGTTATGCTTGGATCCTCACTTCCATTTTGTCCCTCACTTCCCATGAATCAATCGTTCACAAGAACAAAACTTACCAAAACACAAAACTACAAGATTTTACACTTTTCCATTTTTACAAAAAAACCTTCACACAATTCCCTTCCTTCCCTGAGGAGACGACCTTGGAATGCTTTTCCAAGTAAAAAACGACACTCAAAAGACTCCTTGCGGTTGGGGAGCACTTTTGTTCACATGCATTTTGTACATTTCATTCCATTCCACCATTATTATGTTGCCACATTGCTTGCATTGAACCCGAGTGAGAGTAACACTTACCCACTTACATAAGCCATATACACATTGAGGGTTTATGTTAGGACATTAGGGAATACAACAAAAAATATCAAGCAGCTCCTCTTGCTGTCGTTAAGCTACCAGACGTCTCTTCTGCTCCTACTATAGAGACTTACGATTTTTGAGGAATTTCTGTTTGTTTTTGTTTTTTTTAGAAGAGCTCTAGAACCAACTCTTTATAAGAAAATAAAGAAGAAATGTAAATTTTTTCGTATGTAAGTGTTTTTATCTTGTTGGTGCCCTAGTGCTCTTCTAACTGTTGTGCTTTCCATTCTGCCTACTCCCCTTTGCCCCCTACTTTGGGGAGAACTTAGTTCTTCTTGAAGTAGATTTGCTAAATTTTGATGAGATGAATAGTTGAAGAGCTTATGGTCTAGAGTTGAGTGGTTTATGTTTTAACTTTGAAAGGCTCATTCTTATGAGCTGAAGAGCCTTATATTCCCTCGAGTTATAGAGAGCTCAACCTTCATGAGCTGGAGAGTTCAATCTACTTTTCTCTTAGGAGCTCTTCCCCTAGTTATTCCCATCTCTTTACCCGAGCGCTGCATATATCAAACTGAAATAGCACATTCTTGGGGGGGGGGACCTGAATTGCTTTTGTCTGAGCTGATCGTACCAGAGCTAAGCTGCTTATTTGAGCTATACCTTTTTTATGTGGACAGTGATAATCTGATTCGTTATTCGTGCCCACCTACCTTCTTAAAATGCCTCCACTCTAATGATTATAGAAACGTAAATATTCTCCTGTTCATCTTCACATGTTTCTTGTCCCTTAAAATTCAGGATTCCCCAATGTTTCCATAAAATTTGGGATTTCTTTGTTATCTACAAATCTTGAGTTTCTTCTTGCCTGCAAATCTTGGGATCACGTTTCCCATTCTCCCTGAGTTTTTGTGTTCTTTGTCTCTCTTCTGATTTCCATGGCTTCCTCTCTTACTCCCTTGTTCAAACAACAAGCTCAATCCATGATCGACATGAAGTGGCACTCTAACTGCTTGGTTCCTTCTGTGGTCACCACTACAGAATTAGAAAAAATCAAGAGGCGATATCTTCTACCTGCTGACTTACTCCATTGAGTCCTAACCCTTGATGAGCCTTGCAACTTTCTTCCCCAACAAGAAATTTGCTTCTTTGAAGGTTCTTTTGAGATGGGCCTTCGTCTACGCCTTGCCTCTCTCCTAAAGGGTGGGTTGCTATGATCAGCTTCTTTATTTTCTGGTGTCTACAAGGCAATAGTGAATTACCTACTATTGCTGAGTTCCTCTATTTCTATGAACTTGACTAGGACAAGCTCTCTTGCTTCAGCTGCTTCAGATGGAGGAGGCACTTCGATCCCCCCACTGGTCCTCGATGTTCCCAACTCTTCTAAAGCATGGGTTCAACCCTTTTTATTTGCCTCTGGGATTCTTAGAGGTTTGCTACATAGCTCTGCGCACGTTCTCGAGTCCCTTGCTCTTGGGGACACTTTTCTCATAGAGGTATAGGCTTAGAATCAATTCTACTATAATCATGGTGATTGGTTCTTATTGCGCTTCTTCTATGTAGGTATACCCAGCTTGATTCCGACAGAGCTGGTAAAGGTTAGCCAGGTGGCCCACATTGAGCCTATTTCTTTCTCTTAACTGGTTACCCCCAACATCTTTTTTGGTTTAGTGCTATTGCTGCTGCTATGGAATTTGCCTCATACCCTCTTTCTCCTTATTCTTCTTCTGTTGAATCAGATGAGCATGAGGATGTTGCCATATCCTCGAGGAAATGTAGGAGGATTGGTTCCTTATCTTAGTCGCCCAGTTACCCTTTTGCTAGTATTTTATTTTCTACTACTGAGTTGAAGCTTTCAGAGCTACTCACAAAAGCGGAAAAGGAACGTGATGAGCTGAAGGAAGAGAACGCTCGTCTATATGCTGTGAATGCTCGTTTGGCAGAGGAGATATCTGAGCTGAAGAGAAGGCATGGAGGGGCTTAGGACCTTTTTTTTTTCTTTTTGTTATACTACGTTGTGTTGATGAATAAGAATTTATTTTTCATGCCTTGTTCACTTCCTTGCAATTTACACTGTTGGTTGCCATGTGTTGCGATCTTATAAGCTGAAGAGCTCATCACTTGTTTATGAGCTAAAATGCTCATTGTTTATCTATGAGCTGAAGAACTCATTTTTTATTTATGAGCTGAAGAGCTCATCTTTTGTTTATGAGTTGAAGAGGTCATCATTTGTTTATGAGCTGAAGAGCTCATCGTTTATTTATGAGTTGAAGTGGTCATCTTTTGTTTATGAGCAGAAGTGTTCACCATTTATTTATGCACTAAAGAGCTCATCTTTTGTTTTATGAGTTGAAGAGCTCATCTTTTGTTTATGAGCTGAAGAACTCATAGTTTCTTTATGTGCTAAAAAGTTCATCGTTTATTTATAAGCTGAAGAGCTCATCTTTTGTTTATGAGCTGAAAAGCTCATCGTTTATTTATGAGTTGCAGAGCTCGTCGTTTATTTATGATCTAAAGACCTCATCTTTTATTTATGA